TCATCGTTAGTCTCATAGTTTTAGAACACATTAGAGAGAGGTTTTCACTTTCACAACTTTATAAGTAACATTTCGTTCCTTTCTACTCCATGTATGATCTCACAAACAAAACAAAACTTCACTCAAGAAATGGTGAATAAAAAAACTCCCTTGGTGGCAGATCCAAAGCGGGAGGAACTGTTAAAGAGGAGAGGAAAAAAGGGCTAAAATGGGTAAAAAGTAGTCCACTCTTTCCAGCTGTCCCACCATTTAATGGAGGTGATAAGATAGGTGAAGAAAAAAAAGGGCAATAAAGGACGTATGCTATGAACAAACATGGCCTTTGATGTTGTGTTTTCATTGCTATTCTAATGCAGCGTCAAACCATTCTCCTAAAAAAAAAAAAAAGTAAATAAAAATATCCTTTAATTATTGGTGGGACCATCTCAAACATTTAAAATTAAGAATTTATAAAGACAAACACTACAAGAAGAAGCATATTTCCCCCTTTGCATGACATAGATTGCACTGCACGTGGCCAAGGAACTGAGAACGATATTGGCATCGTTCTATGAAGCATTGGGAAGCAGCCTCAAAGGCCATACACTAAATTCACGATGGGACATAACTGTTTAATAATTTAAGGCAATCAAAGAATATTGGTCTAAGTGTATAAATGTTTTGGGGGTTGTGAACAAGGTGTGATGAATAAGGAATTCTAGGATGGAGTGATTGTAACCAAAGGGCAGAAAAAGAACACTCCCATACAATATTTATTTATATTCATTGTTCCTCAAGTTTCATCAACAAAACAGAAGAGAATTGACCATTAAAATCTTGACGAGGTTAAAAAAAAGTGTTGATTGTGAAAGCACTTCACATCATTATACAGAAAGGCCCGTGTGCATGCACTCTAAGAAACCAACTATCAAAAGAGGATAAGGACATCACTTTGGCATCCTAAAAGTAGATAGTCCACTTCTTTCAACGTACTCAAGTTCATCACCGTTGGTAGATATTCTCCTCTTTGGGTTTAAGATGTTATAAATGATATTAGAGCCAGACACCGGACAGAGTGTCAGTGAAGACGCTAGGCTCTCGAGAGAGGTGGATTGTGAGATCCCACATTGGTTGGAGAGGGAAAACAAAACATTTCTTATAAGGGTGTGTAAACCTCTCCCTAATAGACATGATTTAAAACTTTGAGGGAAGCCCGAAAGTAGTAAGCTTGGGTGTTTTCTTTTGTATTCCCATGTATTCTTTCATTTTATCTTAACCTCCTTTGGAGTGTTCTTTTTGGCATTTCCCGTACCTTCGTTTATTTTATATCAACGAAAGCACGACCTTTCATTGAAATAAAAATATATTTTGAGATACTTTAAAATAAAGTATTTGAAGATGTAATAAAGTGAGTGTCTACAATTATTGTCGCATAGCCTTTGGAGTCCTTACATTTGCTCCCATTTCCATTCCAATTTCATTTTCAATACAGTAAATTGTTTCCATTTCTTCGACTCTGTAATCAGAGGGCGACTATGTCCCAAAGCTTTCAGGCTACCTACTACTGCCATTACTCCAACACTACTCCAACACAAGCCATTACAGCTCCTACCCTCTTTGTTTCCAAGAAACAGCCACTTGACTTCTAGCCAAACACAGTATTAGGTAAAAAAAAAAAAAAAAAAAAAAAAAACACGACTCAGAAAAGAAACATTTTTTTATAAGAGTGTAGAAATCTCTCCCTAACATACGCGTTTTAAAACTGTGAGGCTGACAACGATATGTAACGGGCTAAAGTGGATAATATCTTACAGCAGCAGGCTTAAGCGGTTACAAATAACATCAGAGCTAGACACTAGGTGGTGTGCCAGTGTGAACGCTAGGCTCTCAAAGAGAGTGAATTTTGAGATTTCATATTGATTGGAGTGAGAACAAAACATCTTTTACAAAGGTATGAAAAACTTTCACTAACATACGTGTTTTATAATCGTTAGGCTGACGGCAATACGTAAGAGACTAAAGCAGATAATATCTGCTAATGGTTAAATTGGACGGTTACATTGGTACTACTATCTACATGACAGGGATATTTTCCTTTAGAATCAAAATTTCTTCACCCGAAGGAATGAATTCATGAACAGTGAACCAAGTTAAATCATAGGTCGGAATAACAAGGCAGATGTCGCAAATTTTAAGCGCCTAATTTTGAAATGCCTTATTATCTCTGTTGATTGCTTTCCCTAAAAAGTGCCGCAAAAGAAAGAATAACAAAATCAATCGACCGACATGACAATCAAAGTACAAACAATCGATCGATAAACAGTGAAGATCAATATCGATAAAATGTGGCAACATCAAGAGGTGAACAATTAATGGATAAAGCAGTTAGGGTTTTACAGCATTTGGATAATTACGAGGAAATGCTTGCATTGTTCATCACTCAATTCGCGCACTACGGAACAGTAAAAGAACGAAAAGAGTATTTGGAGCATCTGGCGTACCTGGCAGAGCAGATTTCTAGAGCCACAAGAGAGCAAAATATCAATGAAATCTGGTGAACGGTGATTTTTCGAGGGAAATTTCGAATTTTCTACTTGAAATAGGGAAATGAGATCTGTTTGGTAGAGAAAAAAAAGGCTCCGTCCTTTTGTGCTTGGCCGTAAAAGACTAAGCCCATCATCTGTCATTGTCATTTCCCTTTGTAAATTAAATTTTTTTCACCTTTTATATTGTTACTCCTTAAAAGATCTATGCTCAAATACGGGAATATTACAAATTTGAAGACTTCGGGCACTCGTTACCGTTTCAAAGGTAGGTGCTTCGTTTTTTCACCCTCTTGATTGCGGGACTAAAAAGAGTAATATTTTTGTGGCACTTAACTAAATGAGAGGTACATGAATAAATTGGGATCGACGGTCTTAAAAACCGATATAGTTCGAAATAAAGAACTGTCGAGGATTTGAATCCCTCTCTCTACTTTTGCTCGGCGAATAGATTTATTTTTTTTATTTTATTGGTTTTGCCCGGCTCAGTATCATAAAAGGGAATGGCTCGGCTAGGTGGGATAGCCGAGCCAAAATAAGAAAAAATAGTAGATAAAAATGAAGAAAAGAAAAAGGAAGACTTTTAAAATATAACCCAATCCGTCCAACCTGATATATATGGTGGAATCAAATTGATTTTGACTTCAAGCATTAGATCGTCTGTCTCAGTAGAGGAGCGAACAGGTTCAAAATCACGGTCAATTCCTTTTTCAAATCCTGCGGCAGCTGCACGAGCCAGCCATTCCTGCATACCATAAATGACCTACGAAGAGGAAGAATCCTAGATCAAAATGTGAGGTAGCTAACCAACTTCTAGGAGAGACATAATTGAGTACATTAATTTCGGTTCGAATGATCTTGAAGATAAGATCTCAAATATTTATTATATGAACAAAAAACTTTCGTTTTTCATCTTTGAACGATGTTTAGTTAAAAAGATTGAAAAGTTTTAATTGATCAACTGACTCAACTAACTTAAATTCATCTATAGTATTTACCTTATAATAACTCACTTTATCTTATTGTTAAATTAATAAAAATATCTCTAAATTTTGTATTTTGTTTAAAAAATACTCTTAAATTTAAAAAAAAAAAACGTCTAAAAAAATATCCTTATTGTTAGTTTTTACATGACCCGCTAATACTTTGTTTAAAAAATATTCAATTTTAAAATGTAACAAAATATTAATGGTTTCCATAAAAACGTTTAGAGTATTTTTTAAGAATTTTAAAAATTTAAGAATATTATTAAAATTTTAGAATATATATATATATATCATAAAGGAACATTTTTATTAATTTAGAAAATATTATGAAAATTAAAAAAAAATGAAAAGAATATTGCAGTTCTTTAATCAACTGTTATTTAGAATAATATTATAAATAATTAATGATAATTTCAAATATTTTTTAGTCGTATTCAAAAGGAAGTGATGGTCGAATAAATCCTCTTCTCTTCAATGAACTTTATGTCAATCTTTGATCCACTTGGTCCTTGGTTATAATTTTTGACATATTTGTAAATTTTTAGAACATATTGTTTACACTTAACCATGGTTAAGAAACAACTCTCCGACTTAGATATTAAATCCTAAATACTACGATGACTCTTCAGATGTGTCCTCAACTACTAGGAGGTTGTTCGGTCTAAGCTTTTGGGGGCCAAAGTACTTGGTCGTTGGAATTCGAAACAAAAAAGGTTGTTTGTGCCACAACCCGATTTAACATTTGGTTATGAACGGGCTAGACAAACAAATATGGATGGAAGGTAAGATAGATTGAAGTGAAAGTCACGTACCCATGGCTCAAGCATGAAAGTAACGTTTCGTTCCCCTCTTCAACCGATGTAGAATCTCACAATCCACCTCATTAGAGGCTCAACGTCCTTGCTGGCACACCGCCCAGTGCCTGGCTTTTTGTAACAGTCCATGCTCACTACTAGTAGATATTATTCTCTTTATTCCTTTCGTGCTTCCCACTCCTCAAGATTTTAAATATGTTAGGGAGAAGTTTCCACACCTTTATAAAGAAGGTTTCGTTCCCCTCTCCAACCAACGTGGGATCTCACAATCCACTCCCTTAGGGGCCCAACGTCCTCGTTGGCACCCCACCCGGTGTCTAGCTGTAATACTATTTGTAACCGCCCAAGCCCAAGCCCAAGCCCAAGCGCACCACTAGCATATAGTGTCATCTTAAGTTTTTTTCCCTTTCGGGCTTTTTCTCGAGGGTTTAAAGTTTAAAACGCATTTGTTAGGAAGAGATTTTCACAGCCTTATAAACAATGCTCTTCTCTCTAACTAAGGTAAAATCTCACACAATAACTCAAGGTTACTAACAGAAGAACGTAAAAGAATTCTTTTCCTACTCAAGTTTTTACCAAATGAAAGACTGCTCCTCTACTTTGAGAGACGGATCCCCTCGATAAACCGATGCACTATAATGAGCTAACCGATAGATACATACGAAAGAAGAACGTTATTGCGAGGTAAAATAAGAATTATAAATAGAATACTTAATAGGGTTACAATGTTTTGACAATTCCTTTTGGAATAACAGAACAGAGAAAAAACCAATGCTTGGACTGATATTTATGAGCTTGAGCATCATAGAATGCATACAAATGAATTTGATAATGAACTAAGTAAAGGAAATAATTAGAAATCAAGAGCAGAATGTCAGAAATAAATACCTGCATAATGTATCCAGAAACTAGGGCTGCTACCATCCTTGGAGTGCCTTAAGGCAGGATCCGACAGCGAATGACTGATGGTAACCTCTCCGCTGCATTTGAAAGTGCACTTGCCAAACCATTTTGTGAGATCCCATGTCGATTAGAAAGGAGAATAAAGCATTCCTTAAAATGGTGTGGAAACCTCTCCCTAACAGACGCATTTTAAAGCTTTGAAAGGAAGCCGTTGAAGGAAAAGCACAATGACGTGGATTTGGGCTGTTACAAATGATATCAGAGCTAGACACCAGACAGTGTGTCAATGAGGACGGCCCCCAAAGGGATGGATTATGAGATCCCACATCGGTTGGAGAGGGGAACAAAATGTGTGTGGAAATCTCTTCCTATTAGACGCGTTCTAAGACCTTGAAGAGAAGTCCTCTTTCTGGCAGATGCATTTTAAGACCTTGAGCGAAAGCCCGGAAAGAAAGCATTCCTAGCCGACGCATTTTAAGTCCTTGCAGGGAGGCACTTGAAGGGAAAGTCTAAAGAACACAATATAGGTTAGCAGTGGGCTTGAGTTGTTACAAATGGTATTCGATCCAGACACTTGAGGGGAAGCCTTTGAAGGGAAAACCCAAAAGTATAACCACGACCCTCCACAATGGTATGATATTGTCCACTTTGAATATAAGCTCTCGTGACTTTACTTTCGATTTTTCCAAAAGGCCTGTATTCCTCACATATAAACTCATGATCATGGGCCTCCCTCCCAACGATCTCCAACAGAAGGTAGGCTTCAAAGGGGGTGGATTGTGATATCTCACGAAGGAACGAGACATTTTTCACAGGCATGAAAACCTCTTCCTAGCGTACACTATCTACCTGCTAGCAGTAGGGTTAGGTTGATACCGCAAAAAAAAAAAAAAAAAAAAAAAAAAAAAAAAAAAAGCTATTCGAACTATATGAATTGAAACCATAAATCACCAAAGAAATTCATCAAATGAAATTACTACGTAACTTGAATTCTCTGCAATTCCCAAAACAATGTTGTATATTGGAGGATGGGGAACAAAGAAATGCTACAGAGAAGAAGGAAGTACCAGTAACGCAGAAGCATCCATTGGTACCGCAGAAGCATAAACCAAACTTATGGCCAAAAGTGGAATCCATTGGTACAGCAGAAGCATCGACCAGTAGTCCGCAGTAGAATCATCGGAAACGAACCGATCGGCCGCACCGCCGCTCTGATCAAGGAGCTCGTTTCGATGCTCACATCGGGCTTCCATGGCGGGATCTGGAAATGACCGTCAAGGGCAACGCGACGAAGACAATGTAAGAGACGAATTGAATTAGTTCAACGCCATTGAAAACTGGAATCGAACGAGGAAAAAGTAGAAGGTGAGAATTCGAACGAGTGAAGACGATCAAGATTTAGGCGTGATTATTGTTGTACAGTGAAGAGCTCTGTTTGGTTTCGGGTTTATACTGTTCCGTCCAAGTTTAGTTATTATCCATTGGACACAAAAAAATTTATTTATTTCAATTGAATTTTTTAAAAAATAATACCGGACACAAAATTTAAATTTGAGATTTTTTTTTATATATAAAATTAATTTTTTTTTTTAATTTAGGAAAATATATTAAACACAAAATTAAAAAAATAAAATTGAAGTCTATGCCCAATTTAATATTTTTTTTTAGTTTTTCTGTTTTTTAAACGAAAATTATATATATTTAATAAATATTTTAAGTTTTTTTTAAAAGAAAAATTAGAAAGATACGAATTTTAAATAAAATAATAATAAAAAGAGAAAAAGAGAGTATAATTAAGAGTAAAAAGATTTGTTAGAAAAATAAATATAATTAAGAAAAGTAACCGTAATAAAAAATTTAGAGAATTATTATTTTTTATTTATTTTGGAAAAATATCAAAAAGAGAAACAAAAAAAAGGAGTGAAATTTAAAACCCTATTTTTTAATTTACAAAAAAATAATAATAATAATTGATTATCAAAATAATATGAAAAATAGAAAATAGGATAAAGGGAGACAAGCTTGTAATTTGACGGAATAAAAATTGTTTGCAATATCGAACTTCAAAACTGGCAGAGAGTTTGTAAATCCGGAGCGTGCATATAAATATTCGGACCGGGTAGATCCGTTTGGAAGTGGTTACCTCTCCACCCGACGACGCGACGGATACTTTGAACACCTCTCCGCCGCGCCGGATAATAGATACGGCGGAACGAACTTGCAACCGCCGGTGGGCAACGGAGAATAATCCGATTAGTATATAGTGATCTTAAGGTTACAGTGGTGGATAGTCATTTCAATGGAGAAGGCCGATGATCACTGTTTATCGAAGCTTCAACTCACCGAGCGTTCTGATGCTCGTCCTTTTGTGCTTCGGCTCCGTGAAATACTTGCGGCTTGCGCCAAGGTAAGCCCTAGAAGTTCCAGTTTGAAAATCTGTCTGATCAAACTCCATTTCCCCCCGATTTAATGCTTGTTTGCTACTCCATTCAACTAAGTGATAACAGGGACCTTATTTTCAATTAGGGATTGAAAGTGGATAGTTGTAGAATTGTCATTTTGAAGATTTTTTATATGAACTTGCAACGAAAATAAACATTCTGTAGTTTAAAGTGATGATAGTATTGTTTTAAGGCGCAAGGATTATGTGTTTTTTATTTCTTGACAATGGCCGGAATTTAACAATCTGATTGTCTATTTCAAGTCAATTGAAAACGGAGACACTCGTCAATCTGAAGCCATGGTATCTGAGCTGGTGAATTGCCTTGATTCTATTTCAGAGGCTGCTGAAACAGAATTGGACAATGGAGATTCAGAGAGCCATGTCTTTGAAGTTCTCAATGAGATTTATCAATTTATATCTTCTCCTTTATTAGATCAGGTTCTGTTCTTTTGTTTGTTTTTGTAACTTCATCTTGATATCTTCGACATTCTATGTTGTATGGTTTTTTGCTTAGCTGACACTTCTTCTCACAAATGTTGCAGGGAACTATTGACACTCTTTCATTTGATCTCCCAAAGGCAGTTTCCAAGTTCGTAGGGGTAGGCGGATGTCTGGAGATCGTTGATAATATTATTGATAGGTTCGTTACGATGTGTAGTCCGCGAGATATGCTGTCGATTCTTTGCGAGGTACTTCAGTAATCGCTTCCTCATAGACTTAACTGGGTAGTTTATTCGCTATTACAATATGATTAGGCATGCAGTTCTAAGTTCATTTCAAACTTGTTCTTGCTTAACATGGTGGATTATTTCTATTTTTTACTTCTTCAATGACAATTGTTGCTATTGCAATTGCATCAGGCTTTAGATTTCCAGATGACCAAGGGAACCAATTCCATTGCCCCTTTTTTAAGCGGGCTCTCAAAAGGTAATTACTAAATAAATGGTATCTTTGTGGGGAGGGTGGTTGGATTGCTTGGTTTGATGGACATTCCCATCCTTGGGTCATCTATAAGTATCTCTAGGCCCATAACATAGTTAGTTTTTGCTTCTCTCTTTTTTCGGTTTCCAGTGATTCGTTCCATTCAGAGGCGTCATTTTGAGCAAATAAAAGTAGTAGTTCCTGTTGTCCTCAATGCACTTAAAGCAGTAGATTTTGAAACATGTGATGAGGATGTGAAATGTGACACTTTGTACGACAGAGCGATGGACATTGCCAATTCCATCCAGTCGGTTTGTGTAAAGTTGGTACGTGGTGTTTCGATATGATAATAGTTTTTTCTTTTAAGGATTTTCCTGATGGCCATTCCTGAGGATCTTCCAATTTATGATACAGGATGGCAAAGTACACGAAAAGCTCCAATCTCTGCTCGGTCTTTATGCATTGCAAATCATGGTATTTTGCCTATTCAAATAAAATTTTGCTGACTCGTTCATAATACCGCGCTTTCTTACCCTGGGTTTCTGCTGAACACAGCTGTTTTTTTCTGCCTCTCTCAAATGTCCAATGCATAATTGTAATGCAGGCTCTCTTTTCAGTCAGCACGAGCCATGAAGTTTCGAGCTGTCTTCCTTTTGTTTCAAAGTTGTCGTGTTTTCTTCCATTCTGTGGGTTGTCATATGTTGGTCTCATCACTGGATCTGATATTGACAAAATTTCCAACATTATTGGAGGTAACCCCTGTTGCGTTCCCCAGTCAGTTTTATATTTTCCTTAATCCACTTATCACCCCTTGTTCATTTTTTATACTTTAGAGGATGAAGATGATTATACTGCTTGTTTTTCCTACATCAAGCACGGTGCATGTCTTTCAGGTTCGTGTTCATTAGTTTCAAAGAAGACCCTCCATGCTTAATCGATACGTTTTAAGTCATTGCCTTCTTTTGCTCTATTCATGCAGTTCTTTGGGGATATCTTTCTGAAGAGGTTGCTCAGGCTGCAGAAGAAAAAATGGGTGATCTTAAAGATGAACTGGCAACCAAACAAACTGAAAGATGGAAAGCTATAGGCATGTTCAGGCACATACTCTCTTTTTTGGGTCTGTCTTGGAAATTAAAGAAAGATGCTATTGACTTCTTGCTTAGCATTAATGGCTCTGAAAGTTTTGATGACGATCAAAGTGAATACATATCGTATATGCCGAGTATTTTTGCTGCTTTGCAGGTAGTATCTCGTGTTCTTCAGATTCGTATTTTGAATTTCTATGGATTGAGTTGGGTTCTGAGATTGTCTAAACTCTTTGTTGGTCAAGTTACATTTCAGGCTGTTCAGATAATTATCATGTATGCACCAGATACAATGCTAAGGAAGAATGCATTTGGTTTATTTAAAAAGGTGAGTTACTTATGTCTGCTCTCTCTCAAAGCAAAGTTTAATGTTTTTTACACACTGTGATTCTTCTATGTCGATATCAACTGATTTATGTCGAGTTCCATAACCAGTTACTTGCTGACATCCCATGTTCCGAAAGGTTCGACATGTTAAGAGCTCTGATTGTGAATAGCGACTCGCCCTCTATGGTATACCTGATCAAAGCTTCCCTTTTCGATTAATTGTTAGTACTCATCCAGGCTCTAGCAACATCTCTGACCTTATGGTTAAAAATTGTAATAGGTTGCACTTCTTTTGGATCTTGTCAAAGGAGAAATGCACATGGAGCTTTGCCGAAAAAGAGTTGGAACGGACGTTCAGCAAGTCGATTCAGAAGCACGTCCAAAACCATCGTTTTGGACTGCAGGTATTCTCGAATTGGTGGAGCAGGTTTTGCGACCTCCAAAAGGGGGTCCTCCAGTGCTTCCAGAGCAGAGTGATGCGGTATTTAAACCATATCTCCCTGTGATTTATTGTCATTTTTCGCTAGTCGTGCCCGTATTCATTAGTTCTTCCCATCTTCAAGTAAATACATATTGGAAGTCTATCACTAATACAACTGTTACATCTGAGTTTATATGTATATAGTGATGTTCATATGCTTAGAAATTACAGGCAAAGTATTTAATGCAAAAAGAAAAAAGGAAAATACATACGGGCTTTACATCCTCGGTCTGTGTCCCGAAACAATAGATAAAAAAGGAGCATTCAAAAGGGTGTCAAGTATTTGAATTCTGAGCTAGATATTACAAATTATTACTTCGTCTTCTTCATGTTGGTTCTATAATATATTCGATTAAGAACTTTCGTGTGTTACAGGTTCTTTCGGCTCTCAATCTATACCGATACGTGCTGATAACAGAGGCAACAGGTACCACTGCTGCAAGTTAAATATTAGTGTCTTTTGGTATATAGCATTTTGCATCAACATTGGTGCTGAAGAATTTAGAAATGTCCTTTGGCATGTACTTTTCATCTTACCTGAGGCATATAAAGTGGTGGCCAAACTGGAACTTATATGAACTTATGGAACAGGAAGCACAAACCATACTGGAGTGTTATTGAAAAGCAATCTGCAGAAGTCCTATAACGAATGGCTTCTACCTCTCTGGATCCTCGTGACGGGCATCATGTCGGAGAACAAGACCGACTACGATCAAATTGCCGTGGACATGGAGTGTGCACTCAACCCAGTAGAACTCGTTTTATATCGCTGCATCGAGCTTGTTGAAGAGAGGTTGAGATGAATCTTTGTTGAATAGAACTTCATGTCCCGAGTTGAGATGAATCTTTGTTGAAGAGAACCTCATGTCTCGAGTCGTGATGAATCTTTGTCATGTCCCGAGTCGTGATGAATCTTTGTCATGTCCCGAGTCGTGATGAATCTTTGTCATGTCCCGAGTCGTGATGAATCTTTGTCATGTCTCGAGTCGTGATGAATCTTTGTCATGTCCTGAGTCGAGATGAATCTTTGTTGAAGAAAACCCCATGTCCCGAGTCGAGACGAATCTTTGTTAAAAGAACTTCATGTCCTAAGTCGAGACGAATCTTTGTTAAAAGAACTTCATATCCCGAGTCGAGATGAATCTTTGTTGAAGAGAACTGCTCATCGTCAAACATCTTCATTTCTACCCTAGATACTTTATATTTCAGAGTCAAGATGAAAACAAAGGGTCAAAACCTCTCCGACTCCGCTTTAAGGGCTACTCATGAGTCCATTTCCGAGTTTTGAAACGCCTTATATTTTAATTCAACCTTGTGCACTAAATAAATCCTTGGCATTATTAAGGCACTTTTGTGTCAACATCAGGAGAAAGAAAGCATAAACAAAAAGAAGGCGCAGTAAAAAGTGGAAATGCCCAAAAACAAAGCCTTATAACAAAGTAGTTGAGACAAACAAATTCAGTGACTGTGTACCTATATAAAACGCTACAACGAATGAATAAAACCTACACCATTGTAGAGGGAGGGATTCAACAATGGGTTTAACCCAAAGGATTACAGCCTTCAAAAAACAAAAATTATAGAACGTAGGAATCAACAAATGTTAAACCAATATTAATAACAGTGTCTGCTTAGGCCTTGTACAAGATATAGCAAACTTTTTTGCCATCATCAAATAATTGCTTCAACCATGTCAACATATTAGAAAAGAGAGACATAATCAATGTATTTTTGTCACCTTGGTCAATCCTCTGAAGGTGTCATATTCAAATCCGGTAAGAAAAAGACACAATCGTCTTCGGTCGATGAATTGCTTTTCTTCTGCGATTCAGCCTCGAACCTCCCCGAACCTGCCCCGGTGAGTGGCAGCAATGTTGGAGGAATTGCTTCAATGTTAGAGCTTTCCCTTTGATGGGTTAGTGTGGATGAAGAATCCTCTTGCATCATCATCATCTTGGAGTTTGTATTGAATTTTTCTGCGTATTTCATGTTGAAATCCACCTGTTCGTTCATAAAGTAAAAGCAAGCAAGCAAGAGATTGTTTTAGAGATTGCTTTGTTTGATAAATTAGTGCTTTAGGTGAAGGGAAATTCGAGAATCTTTTCTGTTCAATCTTTTTGAAACTTTACAAAGGCAAAAAGACAGTATAGTTCAGGTGTTCATGGAAAAAGAAAGCAGACAATTACTTACCTTCATTTTCTTCAAACTCTCATTCTTGGCTCTTTGTTCTTCGAAGGTAGCTCTTAGATTGGCAAGTTCCTGTTCAAAAAGTAAGTTTGGTCATCAAAATCACGAACAAGATAAGGCAATGTTAGATGAACACTAGTCTCCACAATGGTATGATATTGTCTACTTCGAACATAAACTCTCATAGCTTTGCTTTTGGACTTCCCCAAAAGGCCTAAGATAATATTCATTAATTATAAACCATCCTATGATCATTCCCTATATTAGCCAACGTGGGACTTTTCATCTATGTTAGATTCAATATATATATTAAAGAAAAAGGCTAAAAAGACCCGGAATATATAAAAGAAATTACAACTTTAAAGTTGTTGTTCTACCAATTTTCAAAAAAGAAAAAAGTTTGTTGTTCTACCCATAAAAACAATATTAAAATTATACCTTTTTGAGATGAATTTTCTCATTCAAAAGCACGCTCTCCTCTTCTTTAAGTTCAGCAAATGTCTGGAAAACAAACAACAAGAGTATTTCATCATTAAACAACAGTAAAACAAGCTTCGTTACAATTAGTGGTTGAACCAACCATGCATTCTTCAAGAACAATGCAAGCCAACTACTCATCTAACGTCGGCAACAAACAAATGCTTGGCTCATACAGCCACACCCCAACAAACCCATTATCTATTTTCAACAACATTCTTTAAGAAATTACCTTCTTTCGTCTTAATCTCTTTGTTGCAGTACCAGCTCCGGATTCATTTGCAGCAGCACCCTGAAAAAACCAAATCCAAACACACATAAACTAAGTTCAAGTCAACTCCAAGCTCATAAATAAGGATCAAAAGTCAACTCTAAACCCATTAATAAGAATCGGAATCATAAACAAATAACATAAAGTTTAATTCAACTCTAAACCCATTAACGAGAATCAAGATTAGAAGACAAAAATCCAAACGAATTGACAAGAATGATTTACTAACACCAAGTTTGAAGGTAGAACTAGCGGTCAAGGCAAAGAGATGAACGCCACATCATGAATTCCACATGGACTAAGCCCATTTCTCTTTCCACAAAAAATATCACCCAATTTTGCATTTACCAGAATCGCACGCCACATCATGAATTCCACGTGGTCACTTTAAGACTTCGTTGCGACCACACCCACACCGGCTCCTGTTTTGTATTCCCACCCCGCGTGACTCGGTCACGTGGATCTTCCTTTATCCTATTCCCATCCTCTCTAATGGCCCAACAACTTAAACAACAATTCCATTATTTTATTGTTCTTCATCCAACCATTTTCATGATGCCAATTCAAATCCATGAAAATTATAAATAATGGGTTTCCAGTAAGGGAACACTGGAACCAACCATGTACCATCGCCACACCTGATAATTACTCTTCAAACCTAACGCAGACCTGTCTCTTATGAACGCCTCTCCTCTTTACCTGATCTGATTTGGGCCCTCACTTTGCAGTGTCATCCACCGTCGAATCTGACATCCGGTTCGATCGAACCGGCTCGGAATTTGTGTGTGTGTGTGTGTGTGTGTGACCAGAATACCCTCGTGCTTTGTGATGAATCTTTTACGCGTCAAGGGGTAGTATGGTAAAAATTAGAAAGGACAATGGCCGTAGGGAAGTTTCCAGGCGCTTTCAATGGTCCATGAGTAAACCGTCGGCGATGGAAGAGAGTTTCTATAGGGAAGTCTCGTGTGTGACGAAATATCGACTCGGTGTACGATTTGAAAGGCTTTGGAATCTAGCGAGGGATTGGAAGGGCGTTTTGGTCGAATTGAAGAAATGAGTGAATTCGAGTCCACAGGCGATTTGAATCGAGGCGAGGAGAAAACGCGAAGTAATTTCAAGCAGCGTTCATCCGCTGACCTCGTCTCTTCACGTGAACGTGATTGGAGAATCTAGGGGTATATCGGGGATTTTTGAATTAAAAAGCAGTTTCTCAAACGGTGATTCGTGAAGGTTGTCCGCCATTGATGGCGAGAACTTGAAACTGTTAGGTGAAAATACAGAGCAGTTATGGAATTGAGAGATTTGCAGTTGTGTGAGCTCTGAGAGAGGAATTTTGTTGCGTTAAGCTGTAGAAGAAAATGACGAGGAAATCAAGAGATGTTTCATGATACGGAATCAGAATCGGATTCTTGGAAAAACAAATGGCTAAACAATCACAACACAATATACGATGGTTATCCGAGATAAGAATGTTTCATGAGAGAATCCAGACCGCTGAACTCCACAGCCGACACCACCGCCAAAGGAAAACCGTAATTAAGAACGCCAGCGCTAAGATTTAAGAACTCGTAGCAAAAAAAACCGCAAAGATCGGGAAACCAGAGCGCACACAGAGTCGAGATAAGAGACGAAACTGCAAAAATCCAAAACAGAGGACACAAAATCATAAGAATAGTGAGAAAAAGTCAAGAACCTTAAATCTGGAAGCAGCGTGCGAGAGTGTTGCCGGACGGCTAGACTCCTCATAACCGTCAAGCGTAGCAGAAGGCGAACCTCCACCGCTCCACGAAAGCGGCGTCGTAGGACTCCATCTGGTTGAGTCAACATCCTTATTGTTCCTCACCAAGACACCATCGCCACATCTACCAACCGTCGTCGCCGTTCTAGACCTCAGCTGCCTAATCCCCCAAGTGAACGGCACCATCACCGGAAGCGGAGATTTGGAAGGCGACACAGCCTGCGATTGCTTCAACCGCACCAACAACTCGACCACCACTCCATCATCGGCCATGGCCGCCGTAAGCCAGTCGTCGTTCACCATCATCAGCACAGAGAAAGAAGAAAAAAAAGGAAATGGGGAAGAAAAGGGAATCAAAAGAAATGGAAAGAAGTGGAAGAAGAAAATGGAGAGAGAGAGAGAGAGAGAGGGAGAGAGGGGTGGCGGAGAGAGTAAAGGAGCGTATAAATATTTGGGAAATGGGATAGAGAAAAAGAGAAAGAGAAGGGGGAGTGGGGATTGTATGTGGTGGTTGTTCAGGTTTCCCTTCTTTGTTCCACTTCGTTGTCAGCTTCGGCGTGGGCCTCCCACTCTGACTCTTTTATTTCTTTTTTTTAATTTTTTTAATTGGCTTTTGCTTTTGGATATGTGGGCCCGCTCGACGTAAAAAAAGTGACAGCTTCCATTTCTGTTTCGGGTTTCCGTAAGCGTAAACCCGGACCCTAATTTCTCATCCGCTTTTTACTCGGGTCGGGTTTTCGCCCCGAACCGTCTATTACTCGGATCCCTTTTTTATTCCAATTAATTGGAATAAGTTATTTAATGTCAAAAACCGAATTTTTAATTTTACATTTTAAATATTATTATATATGAACAATAAATATTTTTATTTATAAAAAAAATAATAATAAATGCCTAACCAAATGAACTGACCAACCATTTTTTAAAATTTTGTTTAATTTATTTTATTTTATCATAAATACGAATAAGTCATTAGAAATTCATATTAATTCAGAGAATCGTCTAGCTTTTTCGGGCTCTTCCGTCGTTCGAGCTATTTTTCCAGCTAATACTATGCTTCCCCGACACAGGCTTACCACGCTTCATACCTACGCCGTTTTTGCTAGTAGTGTCGTCCGCCCCGAGCGCTATTTAACATGTTATTTTACTCGCAAATAAGTTGTATTTGATAATTTTTTGTTTCATTTTTGTCGTATAAAGTAATACTTTTGCCATTAAAATACCATAAAGCTTGTAATTTGAAGGGTCGATTTTTTTGGTAATTTTTTGATATTATGATATAATATAATAATTAATTGAGTCATGCTTAAATTAATACTAATAAAATGAGTCGAATTTATAATTAAATTATTAATAAAAAATATTTAACTGTATATACAAAATTATTTTATAAAAATTGAATCAAATAATTTAGTATTTTTACGTTAATTTTTATAATATTTATGATGAAATTTATAATAATGTAAAATAATAAACTAATTAGTAACTGAATACGTTTATAA